TTTCCCGCTTTTTAAATGAATACCCTCTGGCTGGCTCCAATGTATATTTTCTTCTCCAGAGTCTCCAATGTAGGAAGGCCAGTCTTTAACATCCATTTGCTCGGATTCCAGATAAAACTGGCGGCCATTCGAGCAACTGTCCGAATGGATGTCATTTTTCAACAACTGGTGAAGATCTCATCAAAAATCCTATACCCTTTCTTTGATTGAATCCTTTTCACCACCAGTCTAGCTTTGAATCGTGGTTTTGGGAGCTGTGTTCTTCCTGCTTGATCTGAAACCCACTTGTTCTTCAAAGCTTTCTTGCCTTTGCAACTTTACCAAGCTTATAATGGTTTTATTTCATGCAAGGATTTCAATTCTTCTTGCAATGGCTTCATCCAGTTTTCTTTTTGTGTTCATTTCCAATTGCTTCTTCAAAGCATTCAGGTTCTCCCCCGTCAGTCCATCAATACATATTCATTTGATGAATATCTAGTAAGAATGGTTGTCTGATTCTACTATACCCTTCTTAATGTTTGAGCTGGTGGCTGGTGGCTGAACCATGAACAACCAAATCAAACACCATCAAAATCATCTTCTGGTTCATTCTGATGAGGAATTTCTGGATTTTCTAGCTCTGGCTCTTGTTCTTGTGGAATAGTTTCTTCATCTCCAACTTCTCTTTGTTCTGTTGCTAGAGGAACTATTTGGACATCTGTTGAATCATCTTCAGATCTATCGGCAACTTGCTTCTGAGTCTTTTTAACATCTTCAATAGTCTGATTTTCAACAAATACAGCATCTCTGCTTCTTATCATCTTTTTCTGGAGTGGATCAAAAAATCTATAGCCAAATTGATCTTGACCATAACCAATGAATACACATTGTCGAGTCTTGACATCAAGCTTAGACCTCTCATCCTTAGGAATATGCACAAATGCTTTGCAACCAAACACCCACAAGTGATCATAGGAAACATCCTTTCCTGACCATACTCTTACTCGTTCTGGAGTAATCATACTTGAAGAAGGAACCAAGGTGAACGATTTTATAAGATGAACTGCTGTAAGAAGAGCTTCAACCCCAAAATCTTTTAGACAACTTTGCGCATGTGAGAGTAAAACATCGTGACTCTCTCCATCAAAGTTCCTGTTCATCCTCTCAGCCAAATCCATTCAATTGGCGGTGTCTTGGGAGGTTTGTTGTTTGATGTCGATACCATGCCTCTTTGCAGAAAGCATCAAATGGCCCAGTGTATTTCGGCACCAATTGATCTGTTTTTGATGCACTTCAAGCTTCTTTGCCTTGTCTTGTCCTCCTCAACCCAGTTTAGAAATTGTTTAAAACATCTAAAAACTCGGTCCTTTAAGACTTCAAAGTGGTACACCCAGGTCCCTTCTAGAATGGGTCATCGAATAATGTTATTGAAAGGTAATCGAGTTTCCACATTGACATCGTCCAATGCTCCACATAGATCTGAATGTAACAGATCTAAACACATTCTTCATTCTGGAAGGCTGAGAAAAATCCTTTGAAGGCTACTCTACCCTGCTCCCTGCCATAAGCAATCAGAACATTTCTCTTAAATGGATACTTTATCCAATCCAGATAGCACTTTAATTTTTTACCAGAGTTGTCATTCTTTAGCATGTTGTTTTTAATCTATTAGATCTGCCAACCATCTTGTACCGCCGCTACAACTTTGCGGGACACGCCGCCCGACCTCCTCTTGTCGGGAAGACTTTCGACACAAGACACCGCCTGTAGATCTTTTTCCGGTCTTTAACTACCACAAATGAACCTTTTGTGAGCTTCCATTGACTATTTCTGAAGGTGCTCCAGAAACCTTCATCATCAAATCTGCCAACCAAGATTTGGACGCATGCTCGAAAACTCATTCCTTATCAGTCTTGTCTTCCGGTTTAGTTCAACTAAACACGGGCAAATGCATTCTGATTACCATAAGGAGATCTCTCATTTCTCCATATAACCAGTTTGTCGTCTGCTATCTTGACGCACACCCCAGATTTGTCATGGTGTGTAAGATGAAAAATTTTTCCTCTCTGAGAATGTTGCAATGAAGTGTAGCCCCACTAATCCAATTACCCAACTAGTCTCTTTGGTTGCAAGAATTGGAATAAGTGGTCTTCCTAATGAACAGTTTGGAACCTCAGCAATGAACAATTAGCTTTATCATCACTGCTTTCTTCTTTCTTTGCCTTGGCCTTTGATCTTCTCTGATCAAAACTTTTTGAACTTCCGGCAATAACCTTTTTAATGTGCCCGCTTCTTCCCCAACAATGAATGGGCACACAAAATATTGGCAAATTTAATTTTGATTTACCCCTGCTCTTATCTCTTGTAGTTTGAACTTCTAAGATTGGCCTCCTCCATCTAGGCTTGGTTATTTCTTTTAGCATTTCTGCTAAAAGCATGTCTGACTGAAGATGGAAGAAGGATTTTGTGCTTATTGGCGTCTCATTTCTTTCATTCAGAACAGCATTTTTTAACAAAACTCCCAGCTGACTCACTATGTGGTGTAGAGTTTTGTAATTGATATCGTCAAAGTCTCCAGACTCTGGTAAAGGAGGCAAGCACCATAAAGCCGAGGATTTTATCATCAAAATTTTATTGCCCATAGTTTTGACAGCTTGGTGGCAATAGTCGCCTGCATTTCACTCAAGTGATCCTGCTTCAGAAGTAAACCTTCTTGGGTATTTGAAAAAATTCATCAGCTTCGTCAAAATAAAATAATTGGTTGTTGCCGGATTTTGAGGCATACAACCTGTTCAACGCTTGGTCCCATAATGTTCCTGGCGTGAGTCTCGTTTAACAGAATGTGGTTGTACACATTATCATCGACAAATTGTCGAATATAACACAAAACTTGTTCATCGCTCGATAAGCCCCATTCTTCATCAGTCTTGTCTTCCAGTTTGGCTTGAACAAACATGGGCAATGCATTTTGTTACCATAATGGATGATCTTCTCATTTTATTTCTCCATATATGGGTAATTTGCGCCATTTAGACTGTAATTTTGCTTGTTCCTAGCTTCGCATGCTTTTGAGTGAATAGTAACCATATAATATGAATAGTAATAGTTAAGCAAGAATAGTAACTGTATACGAAAATAGTACTATACGTTGAATGTAACGTATAATGCATGAATAGTAACTGATACGGTGAATAAGTGGCTGGCTTAACAGTGAGGGCTCAGCAACAGTAACGCCAATAGTAACTATTCACTCAATCATCACACGAGTTAACTATTTTTACTATTCACTGCACTAAGTCGATTCTTGCAACGTCTTTCCGAGCCGACTGCACCAACGGACCTCTTCGTAATTTCTCGTCTTCGTGGTATATTTATTTTCAAAATATCACCATGTCCAATGCCAACCTAACGAACTCAAGCTTGTCGTCTTTTGCTTCATCGACCACAGCTTCAACAATTATCAGCTTCCCAATTTCATTCGGAATAGCTTCCTTGCACTTCTTCAAGATATTGATACATTCATCGTCATTCCAATCGTGAAGAACCCACTACGATTTACAAGTAAATTACATTAAAATATTCTTGTTATTTAAAATATAAAAAAATTGTATAAAATCTTTTTTAGTGGAAATTAATTATGGAAAAAGCACTCATATGATGACTCTGCTTTTAGTGTGTTAAAAAAATTGCAACATGTTATGGGCTTCACCAGTAATGTTTCTGTGTCTTGGGTGACAAGGCAAGTAAACAAGTCTGCCGGCTTTTTTATTATATCTGTGACTCTCTAATGTCTCTCACTTATTGTTGGTACACTGAACTGTGAAGCATCCTTTCCTATTTATAGGAGAGGGAATGAGAGATAATGTGACACGGCTCTCCAGTTAGGCAGAAGGTTGGTTGCCAACCTTCAACCAACCTTCTGCACCTTCTGCCAAACTTTTAATAAACGTTTCTTCGCTTTTTTTTTTTTTTTTTTTCACGTGGGTGGGCACCGCCACGCCACTAACAAATATTCACACTACTAACAAATATGTGGGTCCCACTTGCGTGGGCACACCACTACCAACAAGAGTCGTAAGAAAAACTGGAATACCAAAAAGAATATTCATCTAAACATATTATTTTATGCTCCATTTAGCCTCTCACCTTTTGAATTGTTTTTTATTACTATATGATTATTATCCTTTTGTCTTTTCTTTTCCATCCTTTAGTCTTTTCCGAGTCAGCAATAGCTTTTACTTGTCAATAACAAAGTATTAAAGATTCTTGTCAATTACATTAAAATATTCTTGTTATTTAAAATATAAAAAATTTGTATAAAATCTTTTTTAGTGGAAATTAATTATGGAAAAAGCACTCATATGATGACTCTGCTTTTAGTGTGTTAAAAAAATTGCAAGATGTAATGTTTCTGTGTCTTGGGTGACAAGGTAAGTAAACAAGTCTGCCGGTTTTTTTCTCTGGGTGACAAGGTAAGTAAACAAGTCTGCCGGTTTTTTTCTCAAGGAATTGCCTTTTTCTTTTTTCCATGCTAATCTTAAAGATTTAAAATGGAAAAAAAATTGCTTATATTTGGTCTACATGCCTATCCCTAAAAATAGAGATTTTTTAAAAATTGTTTCCATTTTATCATTTCTTTTTACAACTGAATAGTTTGAAATATGATCGTTCCAAACAAAAAAAAAATTTTATTGATTTGGTTCATGAATGAGTCATAAACTAGGTTTAAGTGCCTTTTTCTTTTTCTGGGAGTTGCCTTTTTCTTTTTTCCATGCTAATCTTAAAGATCTGAAATGGAAAAAACTTGCTTATATGTGGTCTACATGTCTATCTATGGAATAAACTTCTAAAAATAGAGATTTTAAAAATAGAGATTTTTTAAAAATTGTTTTGATTTTATCATTTCCTTTTATAACTGAATGGTTTGAAATACCACGTTTGAAAGAAAAATTTCATTAATTTGATTCATGGATAAGCCATAGATTGGATTTAGGTGAGTCGCTTTGATTTACAATATTATTTTAAATCATGTTGAGAACATCCACAACATGAGGAAGATCAAAGTTAATGCCTTGAATCCAAGGACAAAGCTTAACCAATGTCCTTAAAGCAGTCCCATTTCCTCCACCAACATCTACCAAAGTTTTTACCCCATCAAATACCTCTACACACCCTTCAACTATACCAGACACCATTTTCCTAGCATTACAAGCCAGCGCATCATTGATTAGATTGCTATGGCCAGGGTTTTCTGCTGCATATTTCCATATATCGTCGCCGTGAGCTGCCTCAAACGCCGCAGACCCATTTAGTCTGACACGACAACTTAGAAAATGCCAAGGCGCCAGCATCACCGGACTGTTCTCTAGTAAAAACAGAGCCGTCATGTTGTTCTCGCCTGGGCCAAGTAACCGGCGAGACAGAGGTGTCTGTATATAGCCTTTGGTGCCATCGGCGGTGAGTTGCTCTTTGAAAATATTGTGATGGACTAAGAACCGCATGATGCGGTGAAGATAAGATGGGTTACATTCAATGGTGGATGATAAGTCAGTTAGCGTGATGGGTCCTTGATGGTTTTCAATAGCATTTGCTATTCCGAGCTCCAAGGCACACTTAACCACTGCAATATTGCTAAACCCAAACATATATTTCCACATTTCAATTTCCATCTGTGCTTCTTCTTCTTCTTGTTTTTCCCTCATTTTTGAATCTCTTTTTTTGTTTTTCGGAAAGCTACAAAATAGAAAACGAATATTGTGTTACTTTGGGTAAAACGAGTTGTGCCGCGGCATGGCACCACGGCTTCTACTTATAATGAATTGCCGTGTGACACCTTTAGGTTGGAACTTTAATTAATTATATTTTAAAATTATAAAATATTGCTAAGTCTAAAAATTTATTTGCCACCACTAAAAAATTGAAAGTTAAAAAAAAAACATTTTCCAATGCTATTGTTTATTTAATCTGTAAAAGTCTGATGTGTTAAAAAAAAAAAAACATTGTCCATCACGCTCTCTATTTTTAGAAGATCTGTTAGACATCGTGACTCAACTTTTTATTATTTTCTCCTATTTATTCATTTTTTCTTTTTTTTTTTTTAATTTTTCTTTTATGTCTTCTCTTTTATTAGCGTTCAAATTTTTTCTCGTAATGAAACTAATTTCTTCTCCATGCTCAAGCAAAAAAATATAAAGTTGTGGTCGGTTGTCTATCTAACAAATTATCAACATTGGATGTGCCAAGTAAGAATTTACAGTGCAAAAGAAAAGCCCTGGTAATTGAAGTGAAGGAACTGCGTTCAAGTTAACTCTTTTTTTTCTATTCTTCATTTTAATTCTTTTTCGCTTTTTTGTTTTAATTTGATTATTGTTGTATGTTCAGTATTCGTAATTAAATAACTCAAGAATTAACCTTAGAAATTAATGTGAAACCAACTCTTCAGTTCTCCTTCTTTCCTATGAAGGGTACTTTTATTGTATATCATGTTTGTTCCTAACTTTTTTAGGATTACCTACTATATGAACTAATTTTAATAGGATACTATTCCTTTAAGGCTAGCTCATCTTCTATTTGTTATTTGTTATTCTAGCTTATAAAATCAATACTTTTCATATTTGCGTTTTAAGATTCAGCCACCTTAAGAAAGCAAATGATTCAAATTAGGAGTAACAAAACCAGGAAGGTAGAGAATATGTTTTTAGTTTATTGTATTTAGTTACAGATTTAATTTTAATTACATACATATCATCAGAAAATTTTAATGTAATCAAGATGCATTAGAGAGCCATTTTTAAAATATAATGTCTATATAGACACATTCAGCAACGTCACCATCTACAACTTCTATTATTAAGACACATCAGCTATAATCCATGGTTGTATTAGAGATGTTCTAATATTTTTTACAAGATGTGAGAAGATTAATTGGACAAATTATTATAATTCTATCTAATAAGTTTTTGACTTAATCACATATTATATATATATAGAGAGAGAGAGAGTTGTAGTAGGAATCAACTTCTATCACAGATAAAGTAAGCTGAAACAAAGAAAAAGTTCATCGTGTTCTCTTTGTTCAACATATTTTTTTAGAAAATTTCAAGCTTTTTCCTTATTTTAATTGGCCAACTTAATTAATCTGTTTAATTTAATATTAGTATAATAATGATAATTGCTTATAATTGATAACATTTGAAAACTAATCTAATCTAATTATCTAACCTAATCCAACTAAAAAACCTTATCTTTTAAATCTAGATAGATTTCTTTAAATTGCACATGCTATTGTATATAATCTCTTCCTCTTTTATCATTATATATTATATATTATGGTAAGTTTTCTTTTTTTTCTGGACCTTAGTTGATACTCCTTTCAAAAGTTGCATCCTTCTTCATAGGATTTGCAGCACGCTAAGGCAACATACACAATTTGAGGGAAGGTTCTTAATATCATTATACATTTTTTTTTTTTTTTCGTGTAAATCATCGGTATTTTGACTTTTTTACTAAAGATGGTTTAATCTAACTTAGGGGTTATTACATAATCCATTTTAGTGGCGTGTTTGTGAATTAGCAGTTGCGGGAAGCCTATCAAATTTCAATTTTATTTGTTTGGTTATATTTGTGATTCAAACTTGAAAAATTGAAGAAGGATGGAAAGTCAAAAGAGAGAAAGTATTGATTAAATGGAATTAAGTAAGATAAAGAAAAAAAGTGGAAAATCAAAAGAGAGAAAGATATTGGTTAAATGGAATTAAATAAAAGAAAAAAAGTTAGATCAAAAGAGTTGGAGACTCTTTTAGAATCTAACCATATCCATTTACCACCTAAATTTAATTGCATTAAAAAGTTGGAGATTGAATTTAACAAATTTGATCCGCCAAATTATTTTGACCTCTTTTTTTATTCTTTTTCCAATCAAAAAAATCGTTAAAACATAGAGTTTCGATTCCAGATTCTATTATTATTCAAGAAGCACAACGGAATGAAATTAGCTAAACACAAATCCATATACTTATGTTTAATTTTTATTTACATATAAGTAATTTGCTATTTATTTATTTATTTGTTTTGCTGTGTATATATATAAAACAGAATAGTCCCCAAGTGATGTTACCTATAGATATATCTCAAACTAATTATATGTATTTTTTTAGTAAACGATTGAATTGTTTTAATTAATTAATGGTACCTTATTTCATACCAGATCAATAGAACAAAGTAGATTAAATTTTTAATTAATTAATGGTACCTTATTTCATATCAGATCAATAGAACAAAATACATTAAATTGGATTAAATTGGATTGAGTGGTTTGAGAACTGAGAATGTAAGAACTCACAGCTGTTGAGGACGTTACTTTTACTATTAAAAAAATTTTCCTAACTGGATACACAGTCCAAATCTTCTATATGGTTAGTATTTGATTAGTTAAATTATCATGTAATTATTAACATTATTTACCAATGAGTGTTGGGACTTTTTTCCTTTTAAGTGAGGTCGAATGTTTGATCCTCAATTGTTGTGCGGTGCCCACTCAGTGGGACCCACACTTTGTTGAAAATAAATAATGGTAGGTAATCAACTACACGTAGTTGAAAAGAAAAAAAAAAAAATTAATAAGTAAAAAAATAGAAAATATTACTTTTAGAAAAGGGAGGATAGTTTTGTCATAAAAAATTATATTACTTAATTTTATGAAATTCATTTGGAAATTCTACTTATTTTTGTGGAATTTGGTATAGTTATGTTCAATTCCATACAATAAAATTCTACATATTTTTGGAAATTCTACCTATTTTTGTCTATCAATATTAATTTTTATTAGGTAGGGCGGATGGGTCAATTTGTCAGCCCAAATTAATCAACAATATTTAATTCCTAATTTAAACCATAAACCATATGTTACATGGAATCACACTTTTTTTGTGCATTATTTTTAGAACTTCGCTTTCAAAACCTTATATGATTGTTTTAAGGCCAATTGCAATTATATTTAAGGCAATTAAAACATATTGTACAGAGACTAAAATATATTTTAAGGCAAATTGCAACTTTTTAAGTGCAAATTGCAACTAATTTTTCAATTAAACAATTTTTCTTTCTTTTTTTTTTTTTTTTAAAAATTAAAAAGGTAAAGCCCCTCTACTTTTTAGTTATACTAAAAAGTTCTATCGAATGAAATGAGGTACATAAAGGTGTAAATTTTTTTTTTCTTTTCCCAATAAATGTGCTTTTTTAATATCAAAGCATGTTATTTATTCACTCGTTTAAAGATCTAAGTTATTTGTCAATCGCTCATGTTAAGAATTAATCCTCTATTGTGTAGGATGTAGATTATATATTATCTCGGCTTTAAAAAGTCTCCAATGAATTAAAAAAAATACATATATAGTCTGTAGTGTTATATATTATTTCAATTCATAAAAGAACTTTAATGAACTAAAAAAATCCAAAAATTTTATTTTATCATTTATATCGGTAATTAATAATAGTATTATAAAAAAAAAAAACCATTTACGTCGTTGACTTACAGAGGTTATAATATGATTATGTTTGTCTAGAACCTTTTTTGTTCAGTGGAACAAGCCGGAATGCCCATTGGCCTACTGTAAATGTCAACCCGAGGACCCAGGGTATGATGTTCTGGTTTGGTTACAACTCCTTTTTTTTTTAATCTGTTTGTTCCATTGCCTTTGATTTTCGTATTAGGTTTCTTGGTTTCAGAGAGCAAATATTCCAAACTTCGATAAGACGCAAGGAAAATAACCTTATTTTTGTTCGCAGTTTTGATACTGTTGATCAAAATTGAATTCCTTTTAATTTAGGTTTGAGATTAATTACATTTGTGATTTTCCTTATTTAAAGTTAATTAAATCTCTCATTAAATACTTTACATGTGATAGTAATTAAGCTTTAGAAACCTTAAATAATTATATTGTATTTATATTTGAGATTAAACTTAATATAATAGTGATGAGATGGTAATTTTTCCATTAGTTGATAATATTCTACATAAATAAGACATCAGAAAGAGTAAATTTTCCATTATTGATAATATTCTAATAATAAGACATCAGAAGAAAAATGCTATTTACTTATTTAGTCGCCCATTGCAAAAGATAAATTAGGCAAAATTATTCCATTTGAAGAAAAAAAAAATTGTTGAAATAGAATTTGATTTGAAGATAAATTAGTGACCAATTATATTTCTAAGGCTCATGATACACAAATTTGCCGTTAAAATTTGAGACTCAAACTACCAAATTGCTACTGAAATAAAATTGGGTTATTTGAAAACCGATGTAGATACTTTTCTGAATTAATTGGATCCATTATAGCCACATACTCTAAGTATGCTGACTGAATTTTTTTTTACAGACGGATGAATCAGTCACTAAGTTAAAATGGGTACCAAATAGCAGATTCTTAAGTACTTTATTTCAGTGGCTAAATCAATTCCCATTCTTAAGTGGAAAAATTTTGAGTTGTCTATCTTCATATTCTTGTAGTTTAAACTTTACAATTCTATATCTATTTGGATAAATAATTATGTTATCTTTCTATTTATATTTGATTGTTACTAGTTTTTTCTTCCTTCCATATGTTTTTCAGAAGGAAGATATTCGATACGCATTGTGACATATTCATAAGTTATATATATTAGTTTTGGATAAATATGTTGCTTGGTGTGACTTGTGCG